AAAAAAAAAAAAAAAAAAAAAAAAAAGTAAACAGCGTCGATTATGTTGACACGCTCACAGATATCATGGGCCAAATGAAAATAGATTATACTGGTCGAGCTAACTATATTTACTCGATGGAAGGACGAATGCTTAAAAATGGCGATTCAGATCCTCCACCGGAATTGTCCGTCTTAACCGAACCTCCATTGCCATATCATCAAATTCCTTCAAACGATTACACGCCGTCACCCGAATTGGCCAACCATTTAATCAACTTGTACTTTATCCATGTTCATCCTTATATTCCAATTTTACATAAGGCTTCGTTTTTGAGACGCTTTGGCGACAAATCAAATCCTCTCTCACCATTATTAGTTTATTCCGTATTCGCCTTGGGTGCAAAATATTCTGATGATGTAAATGTTCGTTTAGATCCCATGAAACCTGAAACTGCGGGACTTATTTATTATAATCGTGCTAAAGGTAAAATTTTTCAAAAAAAAAAAAAATAAAAAATTGTTGCGCCATAATTTACTAAATTCCCTTTTTTTCCCCTTAGATCTATTGGATGATTTCTTAGATACTCCAAGATTATCTACCGTACAAGCACAAATTTTAATTTTGAAATTTCAAGAGGGGATTCGTAGATCTGGTTTCTTTTTTAGAAGTTGGTTATATTTTGGTGTTATTATTAGGATGGCACAAGATTTAGGTTTAAATAAAAATTTTGATAAATGGAATTTACATATTTCTCGTGAAGATATGATTTGTAGAAAACGTGTATGGCAAATTTGTTTCTTATTTGATCAATTCATGAGTGGTGCTCAAGGAAGAGATGTTGTCATTTCATTATCAAATACTGATATTGAACTTCCACATAAAGATGATTATGATGATGAACAAGAATTTCAAGTTCAAACCGAATTTGTTCACCTTGTACGACTTACAAAGATTCTCGCCAGTGTAATGTCAGTAATAGCACCTGCAGGTGCTGGTGCTCCATTACAAGCATGGTCAGCTAATCCAAAATTACAAATTCTTGATAATGCATTAGAAGCTTGGTTACATGCACTTCCACCAAAACTTAGATGTCAACAAGAAATTGAAGCTAGTCCTAATTCTCTTCCACAAACTCCTTCATCACATTTCGCTGGTTTCATCAATATTTTATATCATACTGTAGTAATATTACTTCACAGACCATATATTACAAGTTTAGATAATATTAAAGGATCACAAAATTCTCAACATTTAAATATGTGTACCTTATCAGCTAATAATATATCTCAAATTGCTCAAAAGATGTTTGAACATTGGGGTCCAATCGTATTTCAATATCCAATTCGTGGAGGAAATTATGGAGTTTATTGTTTAGTTGCAGCTTCAATGATTCATTTAGTAAATATGTCATCTCATGATCTTAGAATATCAAGGTTAGCTCATGATCATTTATTAAGAACTTTGGGAGTTCTTAAAGTTTGTGTTGAACATAGTGCAGCATGGGACCTTAGAGATAAAGTTCATAATTTAGAAGCGGCTTTTTCAGCTCAACAAGCACGACAATCAACAGTTACAATGTTATTTCATCCAGGTTCAAATCCTAATTCACCAAATCATATGACACCTATGAATGGAAGATCATGTAGACCACCTATAAATAAAAGACGTTCAACTACTCCAAATAGTGACTTAAACTTAAAAACTGTTGAAACTAATCAACAATTACTTTCAAATAGTTTACCTGAAAATTTTTCACATTATCCACAAAATACTTCACCACCACAATTTCATGAAAGACCATTGTACATATTAACAAATGATCCTCAATCTGAACAACATACATTCACACCTGAAACTGAACAATTAGGGTTTGATTTTATGTCAACACAACCTACTTTGGATGAAAATACCTTGTTATCGAGTCAACTTGGTCAAATTCCAATGACATCATCTGGACTTAACGCTCCTATAACTGTACCTAATCCAATAATGCCTTTAGGTAATTCAAAACAAATTGATATTAACGGTACTACTTTAAATCCTGGTGGAACATTTTGGGATGCAAATTCTTTATATGTATGGAATCAAATACCAACGACAGCGAGTCAAATGTGGACACCAAATGGCGGAATTAGTCCACTTAGCATAAGTACATCTTCGACAGCTAACTCACCTACTGGACACCAATCACCAGATCATGGGTCACCGGCATCAATTGAAAATCAATTTTCACAAAGTAATGCTGGTTCCCCTGTTAATTCTGTGGTAGATCCTATAATTGTTGCTTCACAGAATCATGAAGATTTAAACGTTTGGTATAATAATTAATAATTTATTATTTCTTTAAAAAAAAAAAAAAAAA